TCACAGCATTTGCAACAACAGAAGAGGGAGGTGCTGAATCTAAGATTTCACAGAATTTATCTTTGACCCCCTCCCTGTCCTCTTCATGTAATTTCTTGCCAAAACAAGTCAATTCTTTTTCCACATCATCTCATGAACAACCTCATCGCTCCCTCTCCGCGGCCCCCGCCCACCGTGGCAGGTTTCTGTTCCCTGAGCTGCCTCCCTGCCTGGACCACCTCACGGGGCTGCATCCGAGCCCCTGCAGAGTCCCCTCTCTCGCACCTCAGAGCCTCCCGGCGCCTATTTCGAGTGGCCTTTCTGGGTCTGCTCCACCGTGCCGCCTGCGCCCACCTGTCCCGCTGACCTGCCCACGCCCAGGGCTCCGGGCTCCCTGGGAAATCTGCCTTTGCCCTGCCACGCGGCCTTCTCCGGCCTCCGTGGAACAGCTTTCTACCCTCCAAGTACCATGTCAAAAGTTCGGATGAAAACCGGGTTCCATAACAAATCTGACAAGTCCAGCGGCTGAAAGTAACTTCCAGGGTGACCTGCTCATCAGTTCCCAGCTGGGCAGGTTGTGGTGGGCAGTCACGCCCAGGCCTGTCGCTTCTTCGGTCAAACTATCCTGCAATCCAATGTCTGCTTTGCCCCACTTCCTTCCTTCCTTCCTTTTTTTAAATGATTGAGAGAGAGAGAGGGAGAAACATCAGTTTTTTGTTCCACTTATGTATGCATTCATTTGCTGATTCTTGTATGTGCCCTGACCAGGGACTGAACCCACAGCCTTGGTGGATCCGGTTGACACTCTAACCAACTGAGCTACCTGGTCAGGGCGCTTTCTCACACTTCCCTTATCTTCCCTCCTTAATTCCAAATGCAGGAAAGAAACTGCAAAACTGTCATTCTCCGGAGCATTGGACATCTTGCTTCCAAGCATGGGGTCAAGTCTGGGCTCAAATAAACTCTCATAAAAATTCTCTAGAGGTTTGGATGTTCTTACATGGACAAAAGTCGCTTCCCAAGTGAGGTCTTTCCTCAGGTCTCCCAAAAGGTCAATATGTCCTTGCTCTGAACCTTCAGCTTGTTACATTAAAAAAAAAGCACAGGCCCCTGTGGGTCTGGCTCAGTGGACTGAGCACCAGCCTGTGAACAGATTCTGGTTCAGTTCCCAGTCAGGGCACAGGCCAGGTCCCTGGTTAGGGGTGCATACCCATGTTTCTCTCCCTCTCTTTCTTCCTCCCTTCCTCTCTAAATATAAATAAAGAAAATCTTTTTAAAAAGAAAAAAAAAGCACAGGCCCCAAATGGTGTCACTTGTGTTAAAGGCCCATGATACTGTGGACATCAGAAGATCTAGCTTAAGAAAAAGTCTTATAAGAGTTTATCTGAGCCAGACTGATGACAATCGCCAGGGAGCAAAACCTCAGTGAACTGAGAAAATGCTCCTGAGAATGGCAGTTTTACAGCTTATTTTATACATTACAATCAAAGGAGGAGACCTAAGGGAGTTACATGACATCCACTGTTGGTAGGTTAGGGAGGAAGCAAAGAGGGGAACCTCCAGGACTGGATGAAAAGTGCAAGAAAGTGGCACAGACCTCTCTTACACCAGGGGCACAGGACAGTCCGCATTCGCAGCCCGTGGAGGCAGTGCGCCGGAGAGCAGGTTAACGCCGGGGCTCTGGGGTCTTGTGCTCTGGTGGACCATCTGTGCCCCGGGGGGGGGGGTCTGGGAAACAGGGGTCACTCTGACATTCCAAAGGTCTGTTTTCTTAGATATGCAAAGACTACAGACAGACTCACTTAAGGTAAAGACTGACTTTTGCCAAGGAAGCTGGAGGCTTGGGATGTGACTACCTGCTGTGACTTGCTTTTAGGAAATTTTAGTTTCAGACCATCCTATGTGGTTAGTTTTTAGGTCTCCGAGTTTGTAAGGCCGCCAGGCCGGCCTCCCTGGAGCTTGTCAGGTGTGGCATGGGGCCCCTTTTAGGCCCCAATGACAAGTAGATTTAATAGCTGATGTCACTGCTGTTTCAGCTGTTGACTTAAGAAACGTCAAAACCTGTAGAGAATTTTTATGGGAGTTTCAGCTGAACTGACAACAATGAGGAGGAGCAAGATCTCAAATGCACCCTGGTACGGCAGTTCACAGGCAGTTCACAGTTTCTCTCGTGCATTTGCGATTAAGGAGGAAAAGTAAAGACGATGGGAATCTGGGAGAAAGCAAGGCGGGGACCAGATTACTGGATAGTTTACAAAACTGTGTGCTCTTTTGGGGGCAGTCACGGATTGGAAGGGCGGGTCTGACGTGAGGCATTTCAAAGGTGTGTTAGCCCAGTGTGTTAGCACGGGGCTTGCTTAAAGCAAAGTTAAACCTTCTGATAAAATAGTTATAGGCCTGGGGTGTGACTACCCACCGTGACCTGCCCAGTTAGGAATTTATGATCAGAGCACCCAGTGAGGTGACTTTCCTTAGAAGCCCTTTTTCGTCCACGCAGCCTCGCACAGAAACAGACTCTTAACCAACCACTATGGAATTTCCTGGTCAAAAGCCGGTAAATACTCTGCCACATGGGCTTTCACCATCCCCCATAGAAAGACGAGGCGATCTGCATTAAAAAGAAAAAGAAAAACAAACAAAAAAACCCCACCAAAACCCAAAACAAAAATGCTTCTCCTTCTCTTCTCTGGGAGAAAAGGTGTCCTGTGGTGTGTGTGTTGGTTGGTTTGGGGGGGTGGTTGTGGAGGGATCTGATCGAAAAAGAGAAAGGACTCATGGACATGGACGGACAACAGTGTGGTGACTGGGGGTGGGGTGGGGGGGTAGAGGTGGGAGAGGGTGTAGGGAGGATAAATGGACATGGAAAAAGTACAACAAAAATTAAAAAGAGCCCTGGCTGGTATAGCTCAGTGGATTGAGTGTGGGCCTGCAAACCAAAGGATTCCCGGTTCAATTCCCATTCGGGGCACATGCCTAGGTTGTGGGCCAGGTCCCCAGTAGGGGGCACATGAGAGCAACCTCACAATGATGTTTCTCTACCTCTCTTTCTGCTTCCCTTCCCCTCTCTCTAAAAATAAATAAAATCTTTATTTAAAAAAAAAAGATGGTCTGACCCCAGAATACTCCTTTCTTTTCTCTCACTAATAGCTCCCCGCACCCATCCTTCTTCCTATAAAAACCTTCCGTTTTGTACAACCCCTCAGAGCTCCCTTCTAGTTGCTTCATGGAATGCTGCCCAACTCATGATTTGCTTAATAAAGATCTTTAAATTGACTCAGTTGAATTTCGTTTGTTGTTGTCATGTTTTTTTAAAACAATTTTTGACCCTATCAGACTGGGGGTTCCTCAAGGGCTGACGCCCTCAGTAAATTCTGCTGAATTTCCTTCACCAGACAAGTCCTCCGACTTCCACCATTAGGTGGAAGCGGAATGAGGATGAAAACGGGCTTCCATGAAAAGTCATCTCACAGGGTGATCCGATCATAAATTCCTAACTGCCCAGGTCAGGGGGTGGGTCATACCCCCGGCCTATACCTTGTTTGGTAAAAGGTTTATCTCTGCCTGGAGCAAGCCCTGTCCACTCTCTCTGTGCAGCTAGATTAGCACAGCTTTGACATGTCCCCTTTCAGATCCCAGCGTCTAGTATGTACGGTGTGTAACCCAATCCCCCCCGTCTTCCTATAATCTTCCTCATTCCCCTCCTTAATCTCAAATGCACAAAAGAAATGGCAAATTGTTATTCTCAGGAGCATCTGAGATCTTGCTTCTTGGCATATGTCATCCGTTTGGCTCAAATAAACTCATAAAAATTCTCTGCAGGTTTGGACGTTTCTTAAGCTCACAGGAACTTGGTAAGGACAGCACAGCAGACAAGGCATTATGAATTGGTGGGTGAGTGCACAATGTATTTTTTCCTGTATGAAATCCTCACAACATAAAATTAACCATTTCAAAGTGTGCAAGGCAATGACTTTGGCACACTCATGATGCTGTGCAGCAACCATCTCTGTCTGGTTCCCAGAACATATTCCTCACCCTGAAGGGAAAGCCCACACCCTCTGAGCAGTCACTCCTCATTCCTCCCTCCCCCAGCCTCTGGCACTAATCTGCTTTCTGTCTGTGGATTTACCTGCTTCACGTAAGTGGACCATTCGTGTGGCCTTTTGTGTCTGGTTTCTTCAGGAAGCATAATTTTTTGGAGGTTCGTCCATTTGCAGCATGTATCAGCACTCCATCCCTTTTAACAGGTGAATAATATTCCGTTGTATGGATATACCACAATGTGTTTATCCATTCATCAAGTGATGGACAAGCTGGGCTATGTCTGCTTTTTGGCTATTGTGAATACTCCTGCTACAGACATTGACGTACAGGTACTTGTCTGAATTCCTGTTCTCAATTTTGGGGGCATATACCCGGAGTGTTATTGCTGGGTCAGAAGGTAACACTATGTTTAATTTTTGAGGAAGACATCGTTGTTTTACTTTTTTTTCGATCTGAATGCCTTTAGATGTCCAACTTGGTCTCCAACTCTTCTATTGTGGTACATCCAAGCGCTTGACTTAAAATATTTGGCCCCTGAAGGCATCTGAACTTGCTGGCCCTAGAAAGCTTTGGTGACAAAAAGAACTTAGCGCCCAATTCAGTATTTAAAGAGTCAGAGACCTTGCGTAAATGTCTCCACCTTTCAGGAGTACATACTACCTTGCTCAGCCTCAAAACGGAGTAATACTACTTACCTAAGAGAATGGGAAGATCAGGGAGGTGATGGACAGAACGCGCCTCTTCGAAGCTGTAGAGTTCTGGAAACAGAGAGGGGAGGGCGAAACTAGGAGGAGCGGGGCGGACGGAGCGTGATCTGGGGGGTCGGCCGCGCCACGGCCTGAGTACTAGCCCGGGCGCAGGGGGTCGCTGGGCAGGGGCGGGGCTCAGGTTGGTTGGCTGTGAGCAGGAGTTGCCCTCCCCCGTCCCCTCCCATGACATCCGGAGGCCCGGGCTGCGCTCAGGGCTGGCGGCGCGCGGGTGAGTCAGGCCGGGTTTTCCCTCCGCCTCTGGGGCAGGCGAGCGAGCGCCACCGAGCGCGTCCCTACCTTGCCAATCCGGCTCCGGCGCCCGCCCGCCCGCGTTTTCCCGACGTCTGCCACCCGGCGGCTCTGGCCCGCCTGGCAGTCTCGGCTGGACCGGCGCCCTGGAAGGAGGGTCCAAATCCGAGCGAGTGAACTGCGGAGCGCGAGGGGTGCGGAGTGGCGCCAGCATGGTAAGTGGGGCCCGCCAGGGGCCAAGGTGGACTCGGGGGTGGGGCCGGCCGCCAGGGCTCTCTTTCTTTCCCCGCGACCTTGGCCAAGCCGCAGCCCCTCGCCAGCGGAGGTCTTCCTCAGCGAAGTGGGTGGGGGTGTTAGGATCCAGTGTGCGCCCAGGTGTCCCCTACTTCGGCCACCGAGGCACCGAGTTGCGGGAATAGGGACCGACTCGCACTCCCCGCTGGAGGGACCGGCAGCAGGTTATGCTCCTGTCCACAATCCCTGCAAACGCGCTTTCCGTGAAGCTGCGCTCAGGACCCACGCTCCGCGACCAGGGTGGGGCAGACGCTCTAGGCGCCGGAGCCTGACCTGGACCTCTGTTCCCCTTGCCCCATTGCCCCGGACAGGCCCCAGGGAGGCGCCAGAAGAGATTCCCTCTCCCGCACCCCAGGTAGTTCGAGGACCTCCCGCAGTCCTGGGGCGTCCTAGCCTCTGCCACAGCCTTCCCGGGGCAAATTCTGTGGGGATGCCTACCCCGTTTTTCCCTCCTCCTTCCCCAGGAGACCCTGTCTCCCGCCCCCTCCGGAATATCTCTTTTCGTCCTTCAGCCCCCTGCCCTGTACAGGCAGGCGGCCGCTGCCGGCTTGCCGCCTGGTCCCCGATCTGTGAATAAGGGATGCTCCCAGGTTGGTTTGTTTTGCGGCCAGAGCACCATGCCTATCTGGCCACAACCTTTGGTAAAAGTGAGGGCTGACCTGGGGCCAGGCCGAAATCAGGGCTCTGGCTGCGTCCAGAAGCAGAACTGGGACCCATCGTGTCTCCCCCAGCAACCCTGTCTGTCCCCCAAGTACAGATTGGGGCTGCCCTTGTTTGCACCAGGGGCTCAGCTAGCTGTCCCTCCGCCGGGCCACCGTGTCCTCTCTCCGCCCGGCCTGGGGAGGAGGCAGAGGCAGGAGGCCGTCCTGGGCTGGGTGATCAGCCTCCTCCCAGGCCCTCCTGGGCAGGGCTCCTGAGCCGGCTGGCTGTGTGTGGGTGTGTATGTGCCAGACTGTGAATGAATCCGGCCAGCCTGCTCCCACTGCCGCCTCTAGAGCGTTCAGCTCCCAGGGCCGAGCGTCCCCACGCAGCGGTGCTTCCGCTATTTCTTCCTGGCCAGGGGCCGGCAGGAGGGACCCAGGCTAAGGGAACTGGGATTCAAGCTGGCGTGGTGGCACACGCCCTTGGGAGAAGCGGCTGTGGGGGCTGGGCTGTGTGTGCTGGGGAGGGCGGGCGGGAGTGAGCCCTGGCTGGGCTAGCCGGACCCAGTGCAGATGACCTTGCCCAAGGCACAGCTGGTATTGCTCGCCACTGTGGGTTTTGGGGCAGCTTGCCCCCTTTCTCTGCAACTCAGTTTCCCGGTCTGTAAGATGGAGTGGTGCTAACCGCGGTGCTGCCTGCCGGGTGAGGTCATGGTGTAGATGAGGAGAGGTGATGAGTGGAAGGAGAACTAGGGTGCCGTGCAACTGGTGAGATGCAGCGTGCCTCCTGCAAGGGTTGGACACCGGGCTGTGCCTCTTCCCATGCGGCAGTGGGTCTGGGGTGGGCCCCCTTCCTGGGCCCCTCTCACCCACTGTCCCCTCTTTTGGAACTGGGACATTCCAGTCCCATTCCTCAGTGGCAGCTGCAGACACGCCCCTCAGCAAAGCTGATCCCCTACCCTAGCAGGTGCTGGGACCCTTCCCTGGGGTCAGGCTCAGGAGGGGCTGAGGCAGCCCAGCCAGGAGTGGGAGCTTCCTGCCTGCGCAGTCTGGGATGTCCCACCCCCGAGGAGGTGCATGGAGGGGTCAGGGGTTTCTACACCTGGGGAGCCTGTGCATTGTCTCCTGTGCTGCTGAAGCAGCTGAATGTGGCCTTAAGCACATGATTTCACCTCCTGAGCCTCAGTTTTCTCCTGGGAAGCGGGATGACGCCACCCGTCCCTGTGAGCGTGGTGAGGCAGTGGTAGACCCAGCGTCAGCTGACCTAACCAGGCACCCACTGATGGATGCCAGCATGCCTCCCTGACTTCCTGTATTTCTCTGCGCCCCGGCCACGGCGGTCCCCCACCTCCTTCCTCCTGGCTCCAAAAGAGATGCCCCTCTGTTCAGGGCTTTCAGTCTGCTGGCTGATCTGGGGGATGGGAGCAGGAGTAAAGGCCCTGGAGGGGCCAGCTGGGGCCTGTGCAGAAGGCCCAGCCCAAGCCTAGTCTACAGGGTGCTGGGGGCTTTGCAGCTGTGGGCAGAGCTCTGGGCCCCAGAGTAAGCAAGTCCAGGCACTTCGAGATGTCCGGCTTTATGCTCTGAACCACCCCAACCCAGCCCCTGGGGGGAGGTGGGCTACAGGATACTTGCTGTCCCTTCCCCCTCCCCCACCAAATCTCTGGCCTGCACAGCTGTCCTTGTCTGATCAGGCCAGTCGCTGGGCTTCCAAGCAACAAGAAGGAATGTGTGTTAGGGGGGAGGCAGGGGGCAGAGGGACAGCCCCTCTAGGAAAAGACACCGTCCCCAGACTGAGACTGGCGATCGGTGGAGCCTCCTGGACGCCCATGATAACACAGCCAGAGGAGTTATCTAGGAGGGGTGGAGGGCAAGGGCCTTAAAGAAAGAAAGGGAGGGGGCTGTCTGTGCCCCTCCCTCCAGCTCTTTGGCTGTCTCTAATTGCTCAAGTCTCTTGTGGAGAAAAGCTGGTCCTGTGCCCCCCTCACCACCTTCACGCATGTGCACGCACACACACTTCTGCATCTGCTGCCCACAAGGACCCAGGTCTCTCTGCTGGAGCTCTCCTGCAGTATGTCTGCGTCCCAGAGGGTACGCCGTGCTGTGCAGGTGACCTTGAGCAGGACCACGTCTGCTGCTGGATGCAACTGTCTGCACCGTGTTCTCTAAACGGGAGCCTCTGTGCCGCTGGTGGCACTGGCCAGGCTGCGGTGTGCGTGCGGTGGCCACCTGCCCCCTGGACCTGAGGCCCTTTGTGGGGCCCTGGGGTGACAGTTATTGCTCCCTGAGACAGAGCTGCCCAGGGCAAGGCGGGGCGGGGTGTGTTTGGGTGAATTGGGCGTGCCTGGCAGCACGGTCACCCACGTCCCTCATGGTCCCCCTGCCCGGTGCTGGCACCGGCTTGTACTTCACACGACCTTGTACCTCTGCTGTCCCCCTGCCTGTCACAGCAATCCCATAAGGAAGGCAGGGCAGGCAGAGTCTTTCTCCAGTTCAGAGACAGGGAAACCGAGGCATGACGAAGGGAGGCGCCCCATGGAGGGACAGCGTGAGGCCAGGACAGAAGACCAGGTTTTCCGCTGTCCCACCTCGGCAGCAGGACTTGGGTGCACTCTCAGACACAATGGCATCATGGCCTCCTGGGCCCGTCATGGTGCAGGGTGTCAGGCTGGGAGGCCAATGCTTCCGTTCCAGCTTTGCATCCTTGGTCATTTGGCAGCCATGGTGCTGAGTCACAGGTGCCCTCTCCGTGACCAGCTCTGCGACGCCAGGCAAACCGTTTCACCTTTCAGAGCCCCAGTGCCCTTGCCTAGAAAAACCAGATGAGTAGCTGGGTCACAGAACTCCGGGAGACCCCCACATAGCTGTGTTGCTATAGGTGCCCAGCACCTGCGATTCCCTACCTGGGTGACCTCCGACTCTGGGTGGCCTGTGACGCCCCCCAGAGGTGTCGAGGGAGCTGGGGGCTGGGAGGCAAGGTTGTCCACCATGAGGACAGGGCCAACAGGCAGGGCCTCCCTTTTACTCCTAAATAGCTTTGTCTTCCACAAACACAAAACCCGGAAATGGTCGAGGAGGACAGAATGTCCTGATGGCCATTGTTTGGGACAGTCCTGGAAGCATATTGGGGAGGCTGTGAGCAGGGGTCCCCAAGCTCGGGGCTGTGGACCAGTACTTAGGAACCAGGCAGCCCAGCAGGAGGTGAGCTTGAATGTAATGTGCTTGAAACATCCCCAAACCAACCCCCCATGCCCTAAATTTTCTCCCCAATCCGTGGAAAAATTCTCTTCCACGAAACCAGTCCCTGGTGCCAGCAAGGTTAGGGACTGCTGTTGGGAGGACTCGCAGCTGCAGCGTGCCTGCTGGGTGTCTGTCCCAGAATGGGAGCGGCTGGGTGGGAGGCGGAGAAGGTGGTATTGGTTCATCCAGCACTGGGCTGAGCACCGGGGATCCAGCCGGGCCCTAGGGACACGCCCTGCCCTCTAGTGTGTGGTCCCAGCACAGATGGGGCCGGCCACTGAGTCTCCCACCAGCGAGTGGTGTGCGGGTGCCCGAGCAGATCAGCCCTGCTGTGGTCAGCCCGTGCTGGGCCTGGCTGCCGACGGGGCGCATTGTCCTGCTATCTCAGCCCGTTCTCAGGGTGTCCCTGAGCGGGGAGTTGTCATGGCCGCCGTCAGGGTGTGGGACCCCCACACACACCTGCTGGTGGGCTCTTGATTGCTCCGGCTGCCCCTGCCCCCTGCCTCTCACCCTGGCCCCAGTGAACACCTGTCCCGGAAACCATGGCCATTGTTCCCTCCGTCCTTCCTCCCCTCAGGCCCTTCCTGTTTGTATCCCTGCTGTGGTGCAACCCCACCCCACCCACGCCAGGTGCTTCCCTAGGGGAACAAACTCGGCAGGAAGAGGGCTGAACTGGGAACTGGGCTTCCCCTCCCCAGAGAAGGAGGGATATAGTGTCCGAGGCCACTGACCCTGCTTCCTGCTGCCCTGCGCCCACATCCCAGATTGGGTGGGGAGCTTCACAGGGGAGTCAGCGAGGTCAGAGTCAGACCGAGCCTGAGTCCTCCGCTGTCCCAGTCCCAGGTCTCCTCGCATCCACACCGCCCCTTCCCGCCTCTAGCTGGACCTGGGGTACAGGGCAGGTGGCTTTGGGGCCTGTACCCCTGGTTATTGCCAGCCTAGGCATTCTGCCCTGGACTCGCTCCAGCCCCACAGCTGCCTCTCCTGGGCCTGGGCCAGATGGGGAGCTGACAGAGAACGAGCACCTGGTTTTAGGGCATGAGGGGCAGGTGGGCAACAAGCACCCACCTGCCCCTGATGGAGCATCCTCATCCCCAGAAGCAGCTGCTGGTGCTCCGCTGAAAATTCATGGCCACAGCCCCAGGCTCTGTTGGCATTGCCATGGGCAGCGTGGGCAGCCTGTTGGAGAGGCAGGACTTCTCCCCTGAAGAGCTGCGGGCGGCCCTTGCGGGGTCTCGGGGCCCCCGCCAGCCCGATGGGCTCTTCCGGAAGGGCTTGGGCCAACGTGAGCTCTTCAGCTACTTGCACCTCCCCAAGAAGGACAGCAAGGCCAGCAAGCGGGCCGCCCGGAATGAGCCGGCCGACTACGCCACCCTTTACTACCAGGAGCATCCTCGGGCCGGTGACTTCAGCAAGACCTCACTGCCCGAACGGGGACGTTTTGACAAGGTGTGCCTCTGCCTACACCCCTCCCTGGGGTGCGAGGGTCGGGTGGGACCTTGGGCCTCCTGGAGACCCTGGTGCCAGGGCGGGGCTGGAACCTGCAGGTCCTGCTATGGACTATGGCACATCATCACTGCTTCCCGCTGGGGTGTGCCCGGTACCTGGAGGGATCCCCAGGGACTGTGGGGGCATCGCGGTCAGTCTGGGGTCTCACCTCTGCCCTCTCTTCCTGGCAGTGCCGCATTCGCCCGTCGGTCTTCAAGCCCGTGGCGGGCACCGGGAAAGGCTTCCTGTCCATGCAGAGCCTGGCGGCCCACAAGGGCCAGAAGTTGTGGCGCAGCAATGGCAGCCTGCACATGCTGGCCTGCCACCCACCCCTGAGCCCAGGGCCCCGGGCCAGCCAGGCCCGAGCCCAGCTGCTGCACGCCCTCAGCCTGGACGAGGGCGGCCCGGAGCCCGAGCCCAGCCTGTCTGACTCCTCCAGTGGGGGCAGCTTTGGCCGCAGCCCTGGCACAGGCCCCTTCAGCTCCTCCCTGGGCCACATGAACCACCTCGGGGGCTCCCTGGACCGGGCCTCAAGGAGCCCCAAGAAGGCGGGGCCAACAGCCATGCTGAGTTGCCTGCCTGAACCCCCACCCCCCTACGAGTTCTCCTGTTCCACCGCCGAGGAAGTGATGGCCATGCTGCCCGACACCTGTGAGGACCTCAAGCGAGGTCTCGTTGACGAGGATGGTGCCAACCCCTTCACGCAGGTGAGGGCAGCCTCTGCCCCGGGTCCTGTTCTGTCCCTTGGCACTGGAGTCCTGGACAGCGTCCCCAGCCAGCTCACCCTTGTGATTCTGGGCACAAGAAAGAGAGGAGGTGAATCGGCTCCTCTCCCTGCATCCCCACTGGTGGGGCGTCTGTTCACTGCTGGTTCTTGCTGGAGTTGTATAAGAAGGAGGGAGAAACTCCCTGGGAGGGCCATGTGCTGGCGACACTTCACCTCTGGAGGGCACCCCTGGGTGGTGCACCTGTGGCCTGGTTGGTGGGCCCTGGGTCCTGTGGCACTCGGGCACAGGCTGTGGGCAGCGGCCACCAGGCACCTCTCTCCCCTTGGCAGGTGCTGGAGGAGCGCCAGCGGCTGTGGCTGTCGGAGCTGAAGCGCTTGTACGTGGAGCGGCTGCACGAGGTGGCCCAGAAGGCGGAGCGCAGTGAGCGAAACCTCCAGCTGCAGCTGTTCGTGGCCCAGCAGGAGCAGCGGCGCCTGCGCAAGGAGCTTCGGGCACAGCAGGGTCTTGTCCCTGAGCCTCGGCCCCCAGAAGCTGACCCCAACACTAGTCCAGAGGAGGAAGCGCGATGGGAGGTGAGAGCCCAGGTCCTTAAGAACGCTCTTGTCCCCTCCCCGTTTCTGTAGTCCCCTTCTGCCCGCGCCCTGCTTTGCCGGACCCTTGCCCATCCTGTGCTGCTTTCCAGGTGTGCCAGAAGACAGCAGAGATTAGCCTCCTGAAGCAGCAGCTGCGGGAGGCCCAGGCCGAGCTGGCCCAGAAGCTGGCTGAGATCTTCAGTCTGAAGACACAACTCCGGGGCAGCCGGGCACAAGCCCAGGCCCAGGACGCAGAGCTGGCCCGGCTGCGGGAGGCCGTGCGGAGCCTGCAGGAGCAGGCCCCACGGGGGGAAGCCCCAGGTGGTTGTGAGACTGATGACTGCAAGAGCAGGGGGCTGCTGGGGGAGGCAGGAGGCTGCGAGGCTGGAGAGGCCACCGAGCAGCTGCGGGCTGAGCTGCTGCAGGAGCGGCTCCGGGGCCAGGAGCAGGCTCTACGCTTCGAGCAGGAGCGGCGGACGTGGCAGGAAGAGAAGGAACGGGTGCTGCGCTACCAGCGGGAGATCCAGGGGGGCTACATGGATATGTACCGCCGTAACCAGGCACTGGAACAGGAGCTGCGGGCACTGCGGGAGCCCCCCGCGCCCTGGAGTCCTCGGCTGGAGTCCTCCAAGATCTGAGGCCAGCTGCACGAGCCGACAGCAGAAGCGCTGTCAGAAGATGGCTTGGGCGAGCCTGCCCTGAGACAGCTGGCCGGCTCCGTCCTGATACTGGTCTGAGGCAGAATCTGCTGAAGCCAGCTGGGATGGGGAAGCCCACCTAGAGAAGGGATCCAGAGGGGCTGTGGGCTGGGTAGGGTGCCACAACAGGAGCCAGGCCCTCGTGGCTAAGAAGTACCCCAGCAGGGCCCACAGCCTGTGGCCCTGGAAAGGGAGACTGGGAGATGAGGTGCCTAAGATTCTGAGGGATAGGCATGAGGGAGGGAGGCTGGGACAGGAACATTGGCCTCCCCCAGAATGAAACCACAGTATTTTTTTTTAATTGATTTGAGAGAGAGAGAGAGGAAAAACCAATTGATTTGTTGTTCCACTTATTTATGCATCCATTGATTGCTTCTTGTATGTACCCTGACTGGAGATTGAACCTACGATGTTGGTGTATTGGGGTGATGCTCTAACCCACTGAGCTACTTGTCCCGGGCTGAAACCACATTTTCTATGAGGAGGCCCTGGGTGATATGTTGGGCCTGTCTCTGGCCTGAGTTGAGCCGATCCAGGAGGGTCCGGGCCGGGGGTCATGGATCTGGGCAGTATAGCCCCTCTCAAGGTCGGCGAGAGGGTGTGTCCGGTACCCGTGTTGGGCACGTGTGTTGGCAGGTGGCGGAGTCCTCCTCTTTGCCCCAGCACCACATGGTTCCTTAGCTGCCATGTGGGCTGAAATTCCTTTCTTTATCACCAGTGGGATTTTTCAGAAGGAACGATGCCAGGGAATCTAGAAAAACAAAAGGGCAAGTCACCCAAGGCATTGCTCGAACTTGAAATGTTCTCTTCGTGGGAAGTCTCAGCCATAGTGCCCAGGCCCCTGCCAGGTGTAGAGCCAGCCTCGGGCAACTTCCGCTGGAGCTCGCTAAGGCTCCTGCAGGGACCTGCTCCTCCCAGCACCCACCTCCCATCTTCCTGTCTGGCTGTGGTGCACCCCTTCCTCCATAGGGATGGGGACCCTGGGAAGGTGCAGGAGACTGGTAGAAAAAGCTTGTGGGTCACCAGATAAAGGGCCTTTGCCACTACAAGGAATGCGGACACATCCCCATAAGTATGAAGGACCGTGGAGTTTTTAAGTGGAGGTGAGGTAAGAGCTGATTTGCATTCTGGAAAGCAGCCCCTGCCTCTCAGACATCTGGCTTCCCCTCTGGGCCTTTCCTCCCTCCCAGATAGGTGGCCTGGAGCTCAGGGCCAGACCTGCCATGTAGGTGGGTGTCTCCCCACCCCTCGTGCTGAAGTTCAGCGTCCTTACAGGTGAATCGCTGTGGCTGCTGCCAGGCAGGATGTGGGGGCTCAGGTGGGAAACTTTCTGCCCCAGGGAAGGCAGGAGACAGGCAGACTTATCCCCTCCCAGTGGCTGCCCTGGTGGGGCAGGTGCAACCTCAGAGGAGTTCTCGGCAGAGATCCCCAGCTTCCTCCCCGTGGCCTCACCAGCCTGCTGCCAGGCCTGGCAGCCCCATGGGCCCCAGCAGGTGGGGCCTGCGCAGGGTGTGGATTGGGCTGTAGAATGTGAGCCAGTGTGCTCCACCTTTTCAGGGCGGAGAGGGGTGTATGAGTCGACTGCCAAGGGGTTGGTGTGTCTGTGGCCCTGTGAGGGGGAGGTGTGTGCAGAGATGGGTTGCGGGTGGTGGGTGTGTCTGAGGGGGTGTGTTTGGGGCTGCTTCCTGCCATTCCCTCTGCCCCATTACTCCCCCCTCCCCCCCAGCTCTAGTCCCTTCAGCTGGCGAGGCTTAGGTGGAGCCTGTGGCCAGTACAGATCCTTGGTCCTAGCTGAGACCCATCTAGGCCCACCCCTCAGCCTGGGGAGGGGAAGAGAACACCTGAGTCAGGCAGTTCTGCTCTCCGCGGGCCTCAGTATCCACTTTGTACCTCTCCAAAGCACGGTTTCTGGGCCCGAGTCCCTCCACCGTCCACAGCTGAGTGCTGGCCTGAGGTCTTGGCCTGGAGCTGATCAGGGTAAGTGCCCACGTGCCCTACAATGTCAGGGTCTGCTTTTCTGTGCACCACCTCTGCAGAACGGCTCCGCACCCAGCAATTAGAGAGCTGGGCCGGCCAGTACTGCCAGCAGGGAGTGGGTGGGCGGTACCAAAACTTGGCAGCTGTGCCAGAAACCAAGACCAGGCCCAGATATAGGGGGAGGACTCAAGGGAGCCAAGCTGGGGCGTCTCAGAGGGAACCGGATCCCTATTAGCTTATCCCTGGGGAAACCAGCTCCAGTCCCCAAGCCGGCTCAGTAGCTCTGGGGCCAGCTGATTATAGGTGCCACTGCAGTGGCTTGCTGCTCCCGGGCAGCTCCTCCCTCCGGCCACTGGCAGGCCCCTACCACCAGGAGACTACACCCAGGCATCCGGTTCTCCAGAGCTGTGGCGACCCCCCCCCACCCAGGCTCCCTGCCCCTGGTTCCCCCTGTGCTCAGTGCAGGTAGTGTCATGCCTGCCAGCTGCTCCCTGGGCCCCTCAGTCTGTCTCTCAAGGCTTCGGGCAGTGACTGATAGTGGTGCCCCTTCTGACCCCAGCAGCCCTCTGGGCCTTGCTCCTGTAGGCAGAGCCCCTCACTGTGCTCAGGTCTTGCCTCCTCAGGGAAGCCTCTCCTGAACCCACACAGGGCAGTCCCCTCCCCTGTGCCCACAGCCCCAGGTGCCTCTCTACCAGCTCTCTCTGTGCTGCTGGAATTGTCTTCACCTCCCTCTCCACTGGGCTGCAGGCCTTCACCAGGCACAGCCATGTCTTGTTTTTATCCCCATAGCCCTCTGGCTCCAGCCCCAGAAGACACTGGGGAGCCTCACAGTCCAGAGGGACCAGACCCCTCCCCCACTGGCATGGGTTTGAGCTGGTGGTAGGATGGGGTACATGGGGAGGGTTTCTGCTTCAAGTGTCCATTTGCACCGTGCACTACACGCTGATGTACTGCTGCCCTCCTCGGGGCCTGGCGTGGTTTCCAGATGCGGAAGCCAAAGTGGCCAGGGTCTCTGCCCCCTTGGCCATTCCCCATAGGGGCCAGGGGAAGGAGGTGACACACATGGCCATGCAGTGACTGGGCCAGGCAGGAGACAGGACAGGAGAGTCCAGAGAGTGTACTCAATGAGGGTCAAGTCAGAGAGTGAAGACTGGCCGCTGGTGCAAGGCTGGGGCAGGAGTCATCTCAGAGAGGAAGGGTGGGCGGGAGGTGGGGCATGGGCGGGGGCTGTGGGTATTAGTGATCCTTTCTCCAGGGACCTGCAGGCAATTTACCCTAGTGGGTCCGGGCTTAGCCCTCTATTATATCGGATTCAGGAAAGAAAAAGAACATGCTGTTTCTTGCAACAAAAGTGAAATATGTCACATGAGATGAGGCAGAGTGCCGTGGGCGTTCAGAGGACTTACCACTGGCTCCCATCACTTCAGCTGGTGGGGTGGGGGTGACAAAGACGGACCAAACTACGGTTGGGCTCTTCTGAGCTCTTGCTTTGACTGGGCCCGCCCCTTGGAAGCTGCCCTTCCTTGTACAGTCCAGTTTGAGCGAGAGTTCTGCTAAAGGTAGTTTAGTCAGATTGCCTGTCCTGCACATCGAATCACCCTCTGCAGGTAGTCCAGTTCCTTGTTCTCCACCACTCCCCAGGTAACGTCTGATTGCTGGCCTGCCTTCCGCAAGATTCCTGTGTCCCATTTAGTCAGAATTCCCGCTATTTCCTGAGGTTTTCACTTAGTAACTTTCCATCCACTGACCTATACTCCTTGGTTATAAATTGTACTTTCCCTGTTGTACTTGGAGTTGAGCCCACTCTCTGTCCCCTACCACAAAACCCTAGTGCGGTAGCTCTCCCTTGAATAAAATCTTCCTTGCCACTCTTTAACAAGTATCCTGAGTAATTTTATTTCCTTACTGGGATAAGCTGCTCTGAATTGGGGTGATTTCCTCAGGAGTACGTCTAGGATGGGCCTGGTCTTGGACACAATGAAGTGTGAGGCAGGTCTGGGGGCGGGGGAGAACTCTCTGGTTTGCAGGCCAGTGCTCAATCCACTGAGACACACCAGCCACAGCAAGAACCTTTTTAAAAAAGATTTATCTAGTGTGTGCTTTGTGTGCCTGTCCCCCTCCTCCCATTTTAAGGGACAATTTACTGCCAGGAAAATCCACCCTTTTGGGGGTTCAGTTTTTAGAACTTTGACGAATGCAGAGTTGTATAACCAACCCTACAATCAAGATACAGAATAGTTCCATCTCCCCCCCAAACTCCCCTGTGCCCCCCTGTAGTGAGCCTTTAACCTCTACCCACAGGCAACCAGTGATCTGCTTTCTCAGTTACCTTTTTGTGAGCTTTATTTAATCCTACCACCTATTTAGAACATAATACAAAGTAGCAAGTAAAAATAAAACCACTTCACTGGAAAGAATAAAAAGCCAGAAATAGATTCTGTATTGTAGAAAATTCTAATATGATGATGAAGGGCTTCAAAATGAGAGGGTAAGCCTTGGGTGGTGTGGCTCGCTGGGTTGAGCACCAGCTTGCAAAGCAAAGGGTCACTGGTTCGATTCCTAGTCAGGGCACATGCCTGGGTTGCAGGCCAGGTCCCCAGTAGGGGCATATAAGGAGCAACCACACATTGATGTTTCTCTCCCTGTCTTTTTCCTTCCCTTCCCCTCTAAATAAATAAATAAATAAAATCTTTAAAAATGAAAGAAAAAAATTTTTGAAAATGAGAAGGTAAGGAAGGATTATTTAATAAGAAGTGTGATAACTGGACAAAAATGTGGGGGAAAGTGTCAGACATTGTACCTCCACCTGCAAAACAAAATGGACAGGTACCAAGGAGTTACATTTTAAAAATCAAATCCCAGGAAAGCAGCAAAAGGTGAAACAGACTATTATTGAATTCGTGGAAGAACAGCTAAGTTTTTCTGCTCTGAAACAGTCCCTCCTTCCCACAAAAACAAATCGAACACACAATCCCAACAGGGCAAGATTGACAAAATCAACTGGGTATTAAAACTTGGTGCACACTGAATAGAGACAAAACAGAGATGCCAGGAGAACCACATACTGGGGAAAGCAACGACCAAGGTGAAAACTGCCTGAAGCGTCAGCCGGGCAGTCCAAGTTCTCACACGCTGGGCTTTGCTCACACCCAGCGAGGCTGTGGGGCAGGTCAGGGCTCCCGCAGAGGAAGTGGGGAAGCCTGGGGAAACCTGGGAGTCCGCAGAAGCCTGTGAGGTCCTGTTGGTTTGGAGGCTGCCTGAGCCTCAGCAGGTGGCCTCAGGCTAGGCTCACTCAGCTCTCCGCCCCCGCAGCTCCGCGTGGGCCTGGCCACCCAGGCTCGAGGTGCACAGCGCGA